GCCCAAATCCTTTTAGCCTTTTTGCCTACTCGAGGTCCTCTATCGAATGATGTATGAACGAACGAAATCGGAGCCGGACACCTGGGGCGGTTCCCTCGTCAGATACACTGAAAATCATTTTCTATACACAAAGATCCAACTCTTTCTAACTTTCAAGCCAACATTGGTTTAAACTGTTTTTATTTAGAATAAGAAATAACTAGTAATGATCATAAGCGAGTGGGGAAGCACTCATGATAGTGATCATTATTTTGTATAGATGAAAAGCAGAATATAAGCAACAACAAAAAGAGTAAAAAACTAAAAACGAAGAGAGAAAACGAACAGAAATATAAGAAACACAAGTTTCGCATGAACCTTGTTTAGAAATCAGTATAAGCTGTAGTTGTATGAGGAGGCAAGCACATCGGAGGTGGAGAGAAAGGATCAAAACTATTTTTTCCTTTTAAATTTTGCTTAGGCAGGTAGAGTACCGTTTAAAATCGTCTTGTTTTATCAATAAAACAAACAACAGCATCATGAATTTCTTTCATTTCATTCAGACTTAAAGATTTGCTAATAGCAAAAGATCTAATGTTACTGCACCTAAATGATTAATTGAATCAAATAGAGCTTTCCTGTCTGTGCTGTACCGCGAACAATGAAAAAAAGTAATGGATCAAACTTTCTCTTCTACCGCAGGCACAGAAATCAGTACCACTGCTTTTTAAAATATTTTTCTCGCTTAAACATTGTTTTAGAGAAGGAAGATGAACTCTGCATCTTGTGTAGGCCACCTCCACATGACGGGGAACATTTATATGCAAATATTTCCGTATATCACGACTTTCATTTAAAACATGACAATAATCATTTAATTTTTGCCTGAAAATTCTTAATCACTGTAAAATTTTGCATTCGGTCCATGTGCTTCAGAGACTTACTACAAGAAATCAACTTTCCAGAAAGTAATCGGGATACTGAAAGAGTCAAAAAACCATGGAGGAAAGCTTGGAGAAACTGACTAGTAGAAAAGTTCCAACAGTAGAAAAAGTGAGATAGAATCGATCTTATCCGTCTTGCTCCTCTCAGTCAAGTACTATCTCTAACAAACAAGGGCCAGCATCAACCACTTACAGCATTCATTAACAGAAGAAGAAAAAGAAATGAAAAAATGATGAAATGATAAATAGAAGAAAGAGAAGAAGAGTAAAACATTCTGATATTATGTTAGAGCGAATGTGTTGATATGAGATGGCATAATAGCAGCTACTATGTTTTTTTCTATCTGTTTCATAAATGTTTTGTTTAGATATTAAGTAATGCAAAATAAATCGACGAAAACAAACAAATGTTGTCCAATCTACTTGGATGGCAAGAATAGAAGATTTGGACATATTCGTTCCTATTTTAAATATAAATTCGATAATCTATTTTCTCTTGGTCTAGTTTTTATTATTCCTTTCTTAACGGTCATAGCCGCATTTATAATATTACTATTTAGTATTATTTATTATTTTTCTGGTCAGACAGACAGCTATGAAGACGCATTATGGGAAACATTTACGCGTACACTTGATCCATGTGCCGCTGCAGAGGATACAGGTGTAGAACATCGAATTATATCTGGAATTGTAATACTTTTTGGACTTGTCATTGTTGCAATATTAATTGGTGCAATAGTCACTTTTATGGACGCGAAACTAGGTGAATTAAGAAAAGGACGAACAACAGTTGTTGAACACAATCATACAAGTATACATAATTGATCATAAAAATAAAAGGTTAAGTTTGTTCCTTTCTTTCTTTCAGTTATTTTAGGATGGTCACCATTAATATTTGATATTATTAAAGAATTAATTATCGCTAATGAAAGTCAACGTAATCCATCAGTTGTTATTTTAGCCGACAAAGAGCGTGCTGAAATGCAAGATACAATTAAAGATAAAGTAATTAATTACAAAAATACAAGAATTATTTGTCGAAGTGGTGATCCGATGTTGGTATGTAGAAAGCAAATGCTTTTCTTGAACTCACCAATAGCTGCATTTTTCTCTCGCAACTGAAATTTAATTAAAAACAAAAAGAAAGTAATCTAAAAAGATTGGCAATAATGTTACTTTTCCCGTCACTTCCAAGTTTGGGTATATAGCTGTGATCGTCTGATGTAGTTCAAGTAGCTTTCAGCCGATTCGGGCATTCTTCCTCACTGCAAGTACTCTGACTCTGCTTTCTCAGGTGAACATGCCAGTTTTACTCTCAGTTCAATGTTTTTTGCCACTAATACGTTTATAAACTCAATAATTTAGCTTTTTCGAAACAGAAATAGACGTCAGCGGAAAAATTGTCTCATCAAAACAAAACAGTCGTACATGTCTCAATGCAGTTATTCGCATACATTATTCACTGAATGACACGCTTTTTCGGGTAAAGATGAACTGAATTTTCACATGAAAAATCAGAAGGTATAGATATGGATGTAAGGTATGGATATTCAGCGAGGCACAACAGTAACGACGCATCATCTGTATATACAATATAGGTAGAATACATTTGTGAATCTCGCAGGACTTTTACATAAGCAGAAAAGTGATAATTTTCATTACTCGATGTTCGAAAAAGATCCTGAATCGGTTTCCTATCTAATGGTAAATTTCTTTGTAGTAGCTCAGTCAATTTTTTTTAGCGTTCTTAGTCGACTGTGGCTGCCGGAACGTTGACTTATTAAGCTACATTGCTCAATGAGGCGATAATTCAGTTTGATAAGCTAAACAGTTGCAACAACGGTAGTTACATGGATACTTGAGCAGTCGCAGGTAATAAACGAGTAACAGCAATCGATGAGGCATTAGCAAAAGTGTTTCTAGATTTTCGTGCTAGATAAAAGCTTATTGAAAAGACTATATGCCACAACTACGATAGTTTATAAAACATTCATTTTTCGTTGATTTCAGGTTCAAACAAGATAGTTTTGTTGTTATTAATAAGCAAAAATCTGACTGAATAGTATACACTGTAACCCTTTCGGCAATAAAACCAATTATGTTATTCAGTTTTTGACTTCACTTTTCATTTCTTACAACCGTTTTCAACATAGCACACCAATGAAAAGTATACGTCGATAGGGACTCGAACCTAGGACAGTGTGGTTATATACATCAAGCTCTGTCACTAAGCTACCGACACAGATTTTTTAATATTAAATGATCAATCAATGTGTTCCTACAGTCTAACCAGAATGACTATTTTGGCGAGTCAGAACTCCGACCACAACACATTGATCAGTTTTTGTACAATGAGACAATTTTTTGCAGGGTTTTGGAAACCATAAACTCAGAAAATGGCGAAGATAAATCATAACTTGTTCTCGTTTATTCATTAGTTATGCTTTTTCTGTTGTATTAAATTTTAGATGAACCATTTAAATAAATTGGGTCCTAACCAAGCACGATCCATTATTATATTGGCACCTCAAACGAATAATCCTGACGTTCGAGTAATAAAAACAATATTAGCAATAAGAAATAATCCACAAAGAACTAAAATTAATTTTCATATTGTTGCTGAAATAACCGAACGAATTAATTTAGATGTGGCATTGATTGCAGGTTTACGGCTCTTCACACATTTCTAAGTCACTTTGCTTGCTTACCTTGCTCCTCAATAGCAGCGAAATAATCAATCTCTTGTACACGTTATCTGTTCATTTGTCAGTATTAAATGTACCATTCCAAAATCACAGAAACGATAATCTTAAAAGCTGAAAAAAAATTCGAAAGGATTCTGTAAAAATTGCAGATTGGATCCCGTATACTAAAAATTCGATAAAAATAGCAGAAATGATCCTGGTTGACGTGAGGTGCGAGTGTAAAGAAACCTGTACGGCGTTGAGATATATGCAGAATAGGAATGTGTAGTGGTCGCATCTTTTTTTGTGTCCGTGCCGCTTGTGTTCGTGCCATTAGTTTAAGAATATTGTGGGGTATTCGAGCGATACCACAAGAAATGAGGAAACATAAAGGATGAGGACGATCGACTAAAGTTAAATTAGCTTTATCGAAAGACTAAACATTGAAGTATCAGCGTTTGCATTTAATTGTAATAAAACATGAGTGTTAAAAATGTATACAGAAATCAGCGAAGAGTTTTAGGGAAGGTGATTTCATGCGACCCCTATAGGACTCGTCCGCGTAAATCAGCCAAAAAAAGTCAGTCCGTTACGTTTTGAAATGATTATAGCTTCGCAACGAAATAACGCAACAGCCTGTGTAATGTCTTATTTTGCAGAGTAAACTGTCTTCTTTTATATGACAATCAAATGAACTATCATGAGCATTTATTCTAAAAGTTATAACTCAGTAAGTGAGTGATCCAAAGTCACTTCAGAAGTAAAATTAATTTTAAAATTATTTTTAAAAGGGTTGAATTGTCAAAATAATTTGAGATCTGTAGGTACATTGGAAAACTAGAGCATCTCGTAGAGAAATGGGGTAGTTTGCCGAGTGTGAAGGCATCAGGAGAATTAAGTTAACATACTCTCCCTGGAATACAATAAGTGGTAGACTCCTATTTCTTTTATCAACCAAAAAACTCTTGTTCCCAGATCAATAATCTACTTGGAAGTTCCACCATAAAAGGGTGCTTTAGGGATAAAAATAAGTGATTTTCTAGGCCCTATTTGGGGAGTAAGAAAAGGTTCAAGGTACAGTAGGCAATCAGGCGGATATTAGGCAAAAAAAAGTGAACTTTTTCAAGATTCAAACAAAAAGTCAACTTCAGCTTTAGCTTACGCTATTTAAATGGCATTGGAAGTTTTTTTTCCAAGTGCCATAGTTAGTGAGAAAATCCACACAAAAGTTTTTGTTGCAAAACATGTTGATGAGCAGAGAAAAATTATTTTGGGCGAAACAGAATACGATAGTTATAAAAATGATGCACAGTGTGAAACTAGACCTTTCAATCTATCTGTTCGTAAAAAATTTTTGTGAGATGCTCTGGAGCCGGAAAAACAGTTTTTATTTCTGCACTAGGTGTTTAGAGCTGTAGGGTTTTCCGCTAAATTCGACTTTCTCGTCCAGAAGCGGCTGTATTAAAACATAATAACATGTTCGGAATCAGCGTGAAAAACTGCACCGAATGATATATAATTCAAAACATTTTTCTACAGAAACGTTTTCGATCACACCGAATCATACCGTAGGAGCACTTTGCGCAGCAAATTTTCACTATGCAAATGGACATATGCTGTAGAAATGGTACGTCAGTCTATAAACATGTATTTCATAGGTATAAAACTGGCGAAAATATTATACAATAATTGCAGCTCCTTTAAATGATTTAAGCAATTTTCTTGTAATATTTCGACCTTAAATAGTCTTTCGCAAAGTTTATTCGTACAACAGTAATAATAAATACAGCTGCACGATACTTTTTCTTTCTTTTATATATGTCGTATCGAAGCTATAACTTCTATAAACATACTTCATGGAAATTATAACTTCGATGACGTGCTCTATCGAAGTCGTCCTGATTATGCTTCTCGAAAGTTATATTTCAGCTAAAAGCGGATATATTTACCCATCAAAAACCAGAAATGTACAAATTATGAAGAAAAAGTGAAACGATACATACGAAAAAATGAGCACAGTTCGAAATATCCGAATTATTTATTGCCGCATGCTGCTGAATGATGGCATCGTGAGATATATAGCACATTTCCTTGCTTACATTTGCATTCTTTGTTTTATTATAATCCCATTATTCGACAGTTTCACTGTCAAAATTGTCTCAGTTTTATAATTAGTTTATAGACTTGATCTCTACATGATAGATATTTAGAAATATTACTAAAGAACGGACAGAAAAGAATATATCTATTCACTTTTTCTTCATAATTTGTACATTTTTGGTTTTTTGATGGGTAAATATATCTGCTTTTAGCTGAAATATAACGTTCGATAAGCTTGTCATCGAAGTTATAACTTCGATACGACTTATACATGCGAAAGAGAAAGAAGAGCATTCTTTTTAAAAAAAAAAGAAAAGTTAAGCTCGAAATATCACAAAAAAACTGTTTGTCACAAGAAATCATTTGAAACAGCTGCAATTATTGTACAACTTTGTCAAAAATCATTGTCCTTAAAAACATTAAAACTGGTGACAAAAGCTTTTAGCATTTCGATTTCGTTTTACAATGTATTGGTCAATTCCCTAATTTCAAAACTTGGCCACCCATGGCGCTTCTAAATAAGAAACGTTTTCTGTTTCAGTGACAAGTGAGGGTTCGTACACTACTGGGATAGCTCTCTTGCCGACTTTTCTGACCATTGAAAGCAGAGGCATCTAGTTTTGTTCTTAGCGATGTTTCCTTCGTAGTAAAAAATACTGTATTTTTTAGGTGGAGACGAAGTTATGTTTGTCCATGCCGATGAAATCATTGCACGTATTATGGCTCAATCAGGTCGACAAAGTGGTTTGGCTGTTATATTATCAAATCTATTATCATTTCGAGACGATGAAATTTATTTTAAATATGAGAGAGCACTTATTGGTAGAACATTTCATGATGCTCTATTTGCATACGAGAAATGTTCGGTAATTGGACTGATGCTATCCGATGGAACAGTTAAAATGCTTCCTCCATTGGATACAGTAATCAATATAGATGATCAAATAATAGTTATAGCTGAAGATGATGCTAAAGTCATATTATCATCTAATTATGTAGCATACATAGCTAAATATTCTTCTCCAATATCACAGTCAGTAATAAATCTTAGTACAATTCAACTAGCAAGAGCCACAGCAACAAAAGTAGAACGAAACATTATATGTGGCTGGAATAATAAAACCCCGTTAATAGCTAAAGAATTGGATAGTTATGTTTCTCATGGTAGTGAACTTCATATATTAACAAATTCTGTTGAAGCCAAGAAATTCGTATCTAACCAGTTAGTCAATGAATTAAAACACCAAAAATTATATTTTCATTCAGGTCATATGACACGTCGGCAAGATTTGGAAAAACTAAATTTATCAATCTATAATTATGTTATGCTAGTACCCAGTGAAGACGGTCGAGAAAAAAATTTAGGATCAGTTTGTTAAAGATGTCTAGAGAAACAGGAAGAGTGGAACGATGACAGGCGACTTGAAAGATCATACAGTCTTCTATAAAAGGCGTCCTTCAACAAACTCCAAAAAGTGACTAATCGCTTTGGAAAGCCTGTCGTAAACTCAACAAGCCATCGCTTGTGATTACATTTTTCTAAACCCCCAGTGCGACTTTTCATGTGATAAAATATTGCTATCCATAATGTGAACTACTCTTAAAAATAATTCTTTCGGAATCCATCCACGCGTGAAATCTAGTAATGTCTATGGCCTGTGTGTCTTTGTCTAAAATGCCCGTTTTGAAATCCACAGTTGTTCTCGCGTGAATAAAAATGTATCCACACCTGAGCAACAATGAAGATACGAAACAAAAATTCAACGCACCATTATTAGTGAAAAAAGTATAGTGAAGATGAAGAAAAACTGAAAAGTTTCGGCAAGATTTCTATTAGGCACTTTTCTACAAAAGTCTTTTGAAGATTTAGAAAATGTGATTGCTCGCTTACTCTGTACTACAGTCGTATATGCTTTTCGGTGGCTCTTTGAACTATAAGAAGAATTGCCTCTTCGGATAATGTTATAGTTTAAAAGAAAAGATTTTTGCTACTTTTTCTTGAAACTTTTTAGTGATGTATAAAAGTTATTTTAGCAGTAGTAGGCCATTGCATGGTTGTATCTACGAACGTTGGAACCTTATATTGTGCTAAAGAGTTCGCTAAAATTTTAGCGGAAACTGGAGTCCTGCAGAATCGCCGAATAAGTGAATACAGGTTATTCGGCTAACTTTCTGTAAGTGCGTTGCTTTTTTGTCAAGAGTAGAGTGTTAGAAAGAAAGCTTAAACAGTTTTGAAAGACATTTCATATTCGAGAGTGAACATTTTTCTTCGCCTGACGAGAAATGAAAAATTGTCAGTTTACCTAATTTTTTTGAAATTTCTAACAAAATGCTCTGACCAGATCACTCTCTATTTTAATGCTCTATCATCTGCATATTCATGAAACATCGACGTTTGCTCTATGTACAACTTGAAGAAAAATGTGTACAGTTTAAAAAATGAGGTGTTTCTTAACCCTGCAGGCGTTGTCGTTTAAGCAAAATAATCAGCCGATAAAAAATGCTTTTTTCAAGGACTGCCTAAACGAATGTACTTAAATCGAAGAAGCAGATGCTGAATGTGTAATTTGTTTATTATATATACGAGATATAATTGATAAATCACACGGGGGGAAGACATTTAATATCGTAACAGAAATGTATAACGTACGTAATAGTGAATTG